TTGCTCTTTTTGCCTGCAAGTTATGGCTCACATTACAGATGCCACCCAACCTGGATGTCACTGAAAGGAGCCTGCAAGCCACAGTCTCCACAGCACCAAACCAGGACCCGGGTGGAAGTCTCAACAGTGAGGTGTCCCACCTGGACAGTCACCTCATAGGTGTAAGCTAAGGAAGACCTGGCAGTGGCAGTGGCTCTGGCATTGCAACATCCTCCAGCCATTTCTCTGGATCTCTTAATCATCTTACCCAGTATCCTAGAGCCCATCTGTACCATTAAGGGAATTTGGGACTGATGTTTGTACTCTGAAGGAGATTCAACAGCACATACTAGCAATTAGAGAAAAAGCCCTCCAAAACATATCCCCCAACTGTAGTGCAGCTGTCGCCCACTCCAGGGCAGCTCTGGAATATACAGACCACGTCATGCCAGTGTAGCTTGCTGTAGCTGCGCCTACAAACCTGGCATCTCTGGAAGATGCCTTAGTCAGGGGGGGCCAACCTGCAGCATGAGTGACACAAGTGGCTCTGTGTGGCACAGGGCAGATAAGGGGAGCAGCACAGTGGAAGATAGGGCAGAGACAAAAAGCAGAGCAGCAGATTGAGTGGGGAAAAGGGATCAGAGTGGCATTTGGGGAGAGTGCAGGGCTAATTTTTGGCAGATCTGCTAAACAGGTTGACCCCCACTGCTTTAGTCCAATGAATGTTGCAGGGCTTGATACAGGGGCAATGAGTGAAATCCTAAGGCCTGTGTTATATGGGAGGGCAAACAAAGTGATCTTCTGATCTTTCAGTGCTGACTGCCCAGCAGTGAGCTCTCCAATATGTTATCCTCTCTTCCATGCAGGGATCTACACCAGTAACAAGGACCCCATTTCTCATGGGGGTGGGGTGCTCCGAGCTGTATGCAGCACCCCACTCTCCTCCAGCCTCCTGGCACACCAAGGCACCTCATCTCTCCCACAGCTCAACCGCTCTCCCTTTGCCAGTACCATCCCGGCCTCCTCCTCTTCCTCTGTCTCCACCACCCAGGTAAGGGCGCTGGGACTGGAACACACAGCAAGAGTTAGAGTTTGGGTTGGCCCCATAGCCTGGCAATGTAATGCAAGCCTGGGAGGCACTGGTGGCCTTGCAGTTAGGAGCAGTGTTGAAGAGGGTGATATGTGGCCCTTCCTCCAGAGGGGAGAGAGGTTGCCACATGACTCCTGAACATGAGGGAGACCTCACTTCCTGCACCCCATCTCCATGAATGGCCCCAAAGGCCCCAGCTGTCTTTCTGATTCTGGTGATTCAGCAGAGTGCTGCTGATGACACTCCTTCTCCTTCTGTTGACCACCTGTGGTCAGACAGGACAGCTGTGGACTCAGGACCTCTAGACTACTTGATCTGCCACAGGCTACTTGTGTAATCTTGGTCAGGTCACTTGATTTTGGACATGAGCAGATGTGGGAATTCTGTTCCATGGAGTGCTGCTGATAGTGATCCTCCTCCTTCCTTCCCTGTCTGTGATTAGAAGAGTCCTGTGGTTGGTACCCTATCTTGGGACTCAAAATCCACAGGTTGAATTCCTTGCTCTTGCCTCTTGTGTACCCTTGGCCAAGTTGCTTGATTTCTCTGGACATGACAGCCTACATATGCTTAAAAATCAGGCTCTTAGCTTCTCTGTCTCTCAGCCCCTACCTGTGCATGGATAGGAGCACTGCCCTCCCTGAGGATTAAAAAAGTGTAACAGTATTGATGAAAATGCAGTAACACATGCTGTCAGCTAAAGTAACACATACAGGCTCCCTGGACGGTTTGTACTGTAGTATGTGCTGAAGCCCACGTCACTGCATCTTCACCACTGTTGTTACCTATACTAGTAAATGAAGCTTGCATGGGGTTGTTACCACCTGCTACAACCATGCCTTAATTCTTCAGCATGGATGTGACAACTGCAGAAAGTGCTCAGACACTATGGCCCTGGGTGGGGCATATAAGCACCAAAGATGGATAAAGTGTGACCATATGCTGGGAACTAGGTGTGAGGCAAGTGTTGCCAAAGGGAGAACAGCTCTAGGAACTTGGAGGCAGCACAGGAATGTACGGTTGGTCTCCCTGTGCTGTTTAACGGAGTCTCTCTCCCTCCTTCATTTCCCCTATGCAGGTGTTCTCTTTGGCAGGATCCACTTTCAGCCTCCCCTCCTCGCACATTTTTGGCAGCCCCCTCACCTCAGGGCTATCTATCAACCCTCTCCTGAACCAGTCTGAAAGCAGCCGGGCAGGTACGTGAATCGGAAGGTATGTGAGTTTGGACCTTGGAGAGGGTCTCCCTGGAAGAGTCGAGACAACTGCATCTGCTGTTTGAACCTTTTCCCCACTCCTTGCTTGCTCCCATCCCAAGGGCTTGAGGCAAGAGGGCATGTGCTGGGAAACCTGAGCAGTGTAGAATAATGGCTTTTGTAGCTTATGCTGTCAGAAGGGGCTGTATGAGTATTAGAAGAGCCTTTGCCTGAGATGCTGGCAGGTCCTGGGGGTAGAGGATTCCTGTGGCAAGAGCAACCCTGCTGGTTCATCCATGGCAGACTGGTGGCACATCTACACCTGTCCCCATCTGTCCTGAGTGGGGCTACTGTTGAGCACAGATCCTGCCCCTGTATCCCAACTCCAGAAGATCCACTCCAGGGGTGTCCCAGGTAGTTGCTGTCAATCCCTGTCTCTGATGTGGTTCAGAGCAGCTAAGGGCAGCTTGACTTCTGGACATAGGCATGTAGTACATGCCCAAAAGCAGTACTTCCCAGAGCAACAGGGACAGTGCAGGCAGACCCTGCATGCCTTTGTACTTGTGCTAGCCCCAGGCAAAAATGCCTTTTACCTTGAACATTTGCAGAAAAACAGTGCCTTGTTCTCTGCACTAGAGCTGCACAAAACTAGTGAACATTGCTGAATGTTTTTATTCAAGCATATTTCATTGTTTCAACTGCCAGTGACAATTTTACCAGGTGGTACCTTGCCCTGTAAGAATATAAGAAGTGCCATACTGACTCACACCATTGGTCCCTCCAGCCCACTAAAAAATCTTCTCTTTGTTTTTCATTGGATGGTTTTGTATCCCTTCAGCTCTGGCTTTGTCATGAAATGCAACAAAATATGCTATTTTCATATTGAAAATATGTACATTCCAGCCCTGAAATTCCAGACCTTCTACTCAGAACAGTCTCTTTTTTTTTTCCTCCTTTTTTCTTCTCCCAAACAGGCTTGTTTTCCTTGGAAAACTTCCTGTTAATGAGCGGGAAACTTCAAATATTTATATACATTTCCCCAGTCAAATGGGCCTTGTTCCTTAGTTTGTAGCACAATGCAAAGAAGAACACCCCCCACCCCAACATGCCCCGCAATTTCCAGCTGCTTTGCCTTTGTTATGACAATTTCTTGCCCTTCTAGATCAGAACTTTCAGGAGCCCAGCATGTTGGGTGCTGAACACTTGGGGAGAATTTAGCCAGGCCACCCGGCTGCCATTGCAATTAAGGTCCCTGAAAATCTGGTCCTGAGCTTGTTTTGAAAGTCAGCCCCTCGTGTGCAAAGCACAGTGGTTTATGCAAGAGTGCATGGCTGAATGTGGTGCATGTGAGGATGTGCATGCTTCCTCGTGTATTGGGCCAGACGCATGTGCCCATGGAGAGGACATATAACTGTGTATGGCATGCAGTTTTGATGCTCATGTCCATGTATGTTTGTAGCTGTTTCCATCTACCTGAGTGTAATGGTATAATTGACAGTGTCCAGAATTGAATACAACAGCCCGTACTCATATCATTTGGCTGTCTAGAGTTGATAAGGAAGAAAAGTTTTAGAAAAAGATACATCCTGTAAATGTCCTGTGGGTGGAGAGAGGAAAAGATATGTAAGGCACACATCCACTCTAGTATGGGGATAGGAAGTGAAAGTGAAGATTAGCTTTGTGGGGACAGTCTTGTGGTTCAGATGCTGCACTGGGACATGGGAGACCTGGACTCTATACCAGCTCCACTGCTGACAGCACACTCATTGCTTACAACTAAACTTTCAGGAGTATCCAATGGACTGAATTCTCTCTAAAATCTGACCTCTAATTTCAACTTCTGGTGTTGCTCAGTCAAGATCTGGTAAGTTGCAGCACATGCTTCCTGCAGATACAGGAGTCTAAAGGCTCCATCTTAGAGCAGCTCCACCCTCTGGGTTAGGTTTCTAAACGTCCACATCACCACAGCATTTCTCCTGTGCAGCAAGAAAGTTGTGTTATTAGAAACTGAGGCAAGCTAAATAAGGCAAGTTCACACAGGAAGTTTTCAGTGGAACAAAGACTTAAACGCTACAGTCTTTCAAGTCCTAAGTTAGCACCCTAACCACTGCACCATCCTGCCTCTTCAATGCTTTGTCACCTGGGGATGGGCTTGACCTGTCAGCCTTCTCTGGCAGCTCTCCCTAAATCTCCTTGTCATTCCTGCAGCTTTGCAAAGTGCTCCCTCTGATAGCTCAGGGATCTCAAGGTGCTGTAGAGGGACCTCCTAAAAGTAGCTACCCTGAACAGAAGGAGAGAGTTGAATTTGGCTAATTGCAAGACATTCCTGTCTGGATAGAGGGGAAGGACTTCTTCCATCCTATATGTACTATGAGCTTCTCAGCTGAAATACCACTGAGCTGGAGCCTACTTGGACTCAACAGCAGCTGTATTTCTGACTTCTCAGCAGTGCAGGATATAGGCAGTAACTCACGCCCTGCTTGGGGCATTACCCTGTAAATCAGGGGTGGGCAAAATGTGGCCCACGGGCTGGATGTGGCCCATCAGGCCATTCTATCTGGCCCACGGGGCCCCTAAAAAGTTTAGAAAATTACTATTTTTCTGCCCCTGGCTGCCTGTCATGTGGCCCTCGATGGCTTGCCAAAACTCAGGAAGCGGCCCTCTCCCCAAAATAATTGCCTGCCCCGCTGTAAATCATACCACCTCCGCTGCCCTGCAGTGTTCCCTGCAGGAAACTTCCTGAATTCTTGCATGGAAGGAAATGCCTCTTATTGTGAGAAGTGGAGGGGAGGGCACATCGACCAGCTGGCACAGTCTCTAGTCACAACATCTGACACATACCAGACTGCTGGAGAAAGCGTGTTTGCTGAGTGGCAGACACTGGGGGTGGGGAAGAGAGTGTGAATGGCAAATCGCTCTGCTCTGCTTTGGAATCTGGAAGCTTTCTGCAGGTCAGGGAAACACCGCCATACACACAGCCTAGAACTTTTCAATGTATCTGACTCCCAGAGATAGGCCCGGATTTGCCAGAGAGCTCAGCACAGCCAGAGGTTGAGATGTTTTGAAAAATCTGGCCCTCAGCATCACAAAGGGAGTTGAAACACTGTTGAGAATCTGGCCAATTACTGAGGTCCCTTAAGGAAAAATGGGGAGGGGCTTCTGGGTCCTGTGAAATCTGAGCTTGGAGTCTTAAGAAAATTTGGCACAGGGTGACTCTTCACATAGTGTGTTTCAGCAACTCCTCTTGGCTCTGAATCTTTCCTGGCATTTTGCATGCAATTAAGGCTCCCAAGCCCTGCAAAGCAAGTCTGGTCCCCCTGGTATGGATAAAGGAAGTCATCCCCCCTGTTGCACACACTTCCACATTGCAAACCAGCTGCAGAGCTGGAGAGGGAACCTCAGAGTACTGATTCAAACATTTCAATGCCAGACTGCAACAACCTCCCTGACGCATTGAAGTGTAAAGAAATTGTGTGCCCCTTGTGAGTTAATGGATGGTTGGAGAGAGACCAGAGCCACAGGGAGAGCTGAAGCCAGTGGCTGGCAGTGTTTTCCTGTGGTGGGCTGGAATGGGCCAGTTTGTGTCCAAGGCTATTGCTATCGCTGTGTCTCCATGCTGCTGTTTTTTTGTGCTACTGTTTCTCCCTGCCACTCAGCTGCAGCTCAGCATGGGAAAGCTCCCAGCTTCCTGGTTACAGCACAGTACAGCACAGACAAAGCCCCCATCACCAAGACTGCCCTGTCGCAAAAACCTGCTGATGCCCCAGTTCCATGGGCTGGATCCAGTGGTTCTGCAGGCCAGATCCAGCCTGTTAGCCATAGGTTGCTGACCTGTGGCCTAAGCTGTAAGCTGTTTGGAGCAGAGGTTGTCTTTTGCTACATGTTTGTACAGCACTTGCCACAGTGCAACTCTTGATCCTGACTGGGGCACGAGTACCATAGAAATGACCAGCTGTCCCAGATTTAGCAGTGCAGTCAATGCCAGCTGGAGCCCAGCCCTGTCTCAGAATCTTGCTTCTTGCTCATGCCTGTTTGGAGAGGGGGCATTACCAATCCGCAGTCCTCAGGGTATAATGCACAGACCCTGCTGCCTTTGCGCACCATTCCCTCCTCCCCAGACTATAAAACACCCCGGCTGTTGCATCTGCGCAGATGGAGAAGCAGGAGGAGCTGTTATATAATGACAGTGGAGAGGAACTGCTCAATGCTGGCTGCCATCTAGTGGAGGCTGCAGCACTGGCAGGCAGCCCTTTGGCACAAGCTGGTAGGTAACCCCTGCCTTGGCAGGCGGCAGAGAAAAGGGCTTGGACCCTTTTGCAATGCCTTGCCTGTTTTTTTTTCTATTTCCTCTCCCAGAACCTGATCTGGAAGACTGCAGTTTTGGCTGTCGAGGGACCTCCCCACAGGAAAGCCTCTCCTCTATGTGAGTGCCTTTCAGTTGTCCTTTTCTGATGCTGCAGGGGCTGGGGTGCTGCCGCAGCTAGGAGTGCATGGTGGAGGAAACACGAGCCAAGTCTGCAGGCTCATAGAAAATCCTGGTGGGGAGGGAATGGAGGCAACTGCATTCTGGTGTGGTGCAGAGGATAGTGGGCAGGGAGTGGGAAGGGGCAGAAATACCTCCTCCAGCATAAGGTGGGGTGGGGTGGGGTGGGGGATGAGGGGAGTGAAGGTGGCCCAGCACTGAAAGTGGCTGAGAGGTTTGGAGGGGAGCTGAGGAGGGGCAGAGACCCACCCTTCTGCTGCAGTACAGAGGATCTGGGGGGAAGGACTGGGAACTGTCTTTTCCAGTGTGGGAAAAAGGAGCTGGGTGGGGGTAAGAGGGACAGAGACTGGGAGACATAGGGGATGGGGGGAAGGGATGGAGACAACCCCTCTTAGTGTGGACTAGAGAGGGATGGGGGATCAATGCCCAGTGTCTGACAGCCCATCTCCTGGGCTGCTCCCCAGGTCCCCTATCAGCAGCCTCCCTACCCTCTTCGACCAGACCGTGTCCTGCAGCAGCAGCGGGCAGCTGGAGAATGTGCCCCAGGCCACCCCCAACATTGAGCAGCTCCTGGAGAAGCAAGGCAATGGCGAAGCGGGTGTAAACAGTGAGCCACGTAGGGAGCAGGGAGGGGAACTGTCTGGGGGATTCCCAAACAGGGATGTGGACCCAGAGGAACCTGTCCTCAGCTTCTGCTTCATGCCTGTCATGACAAGAGCTGGGGCCCTTCCCTGCCTGCAGGGGAGGGAGCAAGTGGTTGGGGCATGGAGGCTGCAGGCTTAGCCCAGCTGAGTAGGGGGGTTTAGGGAGAGAAGCACTGATCTGTGCGCAGGTGGGAAGGACAGTAGGAGGGCAGTTGGGGAGGGGCTGGCACAGCCTGATCCTCCTCTCCAGGACCATTCTGCTGTGTGTGCAGTCAGCACTAACCATGTCCCCTGCCCCCTCCACACTGCCCTTATCCTGCCCTTCTTCCTGTTTTCACTTCCTGCAGTTGTGGAAATGCTCAAGGCTCTGCACTCCTTGCAGAAAGAGAACCAGCGGTTGCAGGAGCAGATCATGACCTTGACAGCCAAGAAGGAGCGCCTGCAGCTCCTCAATGTCCAGCTGTCTGTCCCCTTCCCAGTGGTGACCAGCAGCAATGGCCCAGCCAGCCAGGCCCAGTACATCTTGCCTCCCACTGGTAAGAGAGCAGCCTCACCTCAGGCATCAAGGGACTATGGGGAGGACACCCTCTATGTCACTTCAGAATAGTGTCCTCATTAGAGGCTGCCACCAGCAGCACCTTTTGGGTGGGGGGAGGAGAGTGGTGGGGGAGCAGTGAGGAGAACTGGCTTCCTAATTTATTGAATTTTTTGGCTGCCATGATGTGCATAACCCACACAGGACCAGGCCACTGGCCCTGATAACACTGAGCCTGTCTCTGTCGCTTCATCATCCCATCTCTCCTTTACAGTGTGCACCAATGACTCCCTGAGCATCAGCAAGAGCCCTCCCTGTAAGAACAGCTTTGGGATTGAAAACTCTCTCTCCACCTCCTCCGAGGTACAGTGCGCTCCAAGAACCTAGAATGGGGGAAGGGGCTTTGATAGATTAAATCAGAGGAGCACCTTCCACCGCTGCCACCCTGAAAGCAGGAAAACAGGTAGTGGTTTGTGGGGGCCTACAGGCCTCAGCCCAAACTGTGCTAAGTGCTGTCTCTTTAAAGGTTGTGCACTACATGCTTACTAAGTAAAAAGGTAGGCAAGACAGTGGGTAACAGAAACGTAGAGAAGTAGGGCTGGAAGGGACCTCCAGAGGTCATATAATCCAACCCCCTGCCTGAGGCAGGACCAGCTTTATCCAAACCATCCCATACAAACCATGATCTAACCTCTTAGTAAAACTACCATCAACTCTGACACAACACAAGACCTAACACCCTAAAATGCCACAGGTAAAGCAGGGGAACCATGGCAGCTAAAATCTTGCTGCTGTAAAAAGTTGTTAGTATAGACTCAAGAGATCCCAGGTAGAGAACCATGCCCGCTGCTCCAGAAGAAGACAAAACCCCCACAGTTCATTCCAGTCTGACCATAGGTTGAAATTCCTTCCTGACCCTAAATATGGTGATTGGTGTAACTGTGAGTGGAGGGGCAAGACCCTCTAGCCAGGAACCTCCAGCTTTATGTCCCAGCAGGAGCACTGACACACCCCAATCAAAATCCCCAGCCTTGGATGCAGCCAGAATCCAGTGGCTCTGAGGAAGGCTTAAAAGCTCCCCCACCCTGACATGCTGCTGCAGGGGCAGAATTCCCTCTCAGCCACTTGATGACTCTCTCTCTCTCTTTTTTTCTTTCTCTCTCTCATGCATTCCCTACTTATCCAGGGTCTTTAAAACTCCCCGCTATGATCCTGTGATCACTGCTAGTGCTGCAGGGGCAGATGTCTGTTATTTTGGCCCATGATCAAGGCCACAGCCCCTCTTGCTTCAGTCCTAAACATTAGGGTTTCTTCCTCTTGAGTGGTTTTATTAGCAGGTTCAATGATGAGGAGCACAGCCTGAGGCTGAAATAGCAAAGGGGCCTATGGGCTAAGACATAGTTTCTCAACTTGTGGTACGTGTACCCCTGGGGGTATGCGAGACACAGGCAGGGGGTACGTGGGTACGCCAACACTCTCTCTCTCTTGCCGTCTTTTCCCCTCTCTCTCACGCTCTTTTCCTCTCAAAACCATGGCAAAAAATTTGGTGCCCAGTAAATTCCCCAGTAATAATTTGGCGTTCGGCCCTCCTAGCTTTGGGCAACATCACCTCTAGCCCAGGTACATACTTGAGTTGTGCACCCCCGGTGTAAAAGGTGGCAGTCCTGTCCACACCAGATCAGACATCTGTCATATCACAGCCTTATATACATAGCCCTTCTTCCAACATATAGCACACATTAGCCTGTAAATATAAAATCCCCTGGAAAATTGAGTGTTGGAGTACTTATTAAAATGTTCAGAACTGAGGGGGTACTTGCTACTTAAAAGGCTGAGAAACACTGGGCTAGGACAAAGAAACAGAGGAGAGAAGGCTGGTGAGTTATTCTAGCAGCAACCCTAGAGAACAGGTATATATGTGCCAACTTCCAACAAGGCACATGGGAGATGTAACATCTTCCTACTCCCCACCCGTGGTGGGTCACTTCACTCAGCTCTGGCACCTGACTGCTGAGCTGCTGTTACCCAACACTCAGGCCTCCAGTGCTCACCCCCATTCCCTTTTCTGTCTCCCCTCCAGGATCCACACTCAGGCTGCCCCAGCAGAAGCAGCTCCTCCCTCTCCTTCCACAGCACCCCTCCTCCCCTGCCTTTGCTGCAGCAGAGCCCTGCCACACTGCCCCTCTCGGGGGTGCAGCAGCAACAGCAAGTCAACGGCTTGGCCAGGGTGACAGGAAACACACTGGCAGGAGGTGCAGCAGGCAGTCACAGCCTACCCTCTGTGCCAATGGTGGACAGCCTGATGGGAAGCCTGGCAGGAGGCCAGCAGATGCCCATCAACGGGATCCTGGGGAATCTCAATGGTGCTACAGCTGCCCAGCAGCAGAACCCCCTGACACAGACCAGTGGGCCACCTACCTTGCAGCTCTCCACCAACTTGAGCAGGTGAGGTGGGAGGGAGCCATGAACAGTCCCAAGGGGCAGCAGTCCAACCATCCTTGTCTGTCTCCACCTCCGGCACAAGCTCTGTGTCAGTACAGTCCTGTGAGAGCATCTGCCTGCTCCTGGCCCCATTTTAATGGAATTCTAATTGCAGCTCCTTTCTACAGACCTTGGGCCATCCTGCAGTCTGAAGAAAAAGGAATCAGGGGTTTGGTTCACCACTGTCTCATGCCTCCCACAGTCATTGGCACTAGGGCAAACTATTCTCATCCTGAGCTGGCCACTATCTGTGGGACAGCAGGGAACCAGTCTCCATCGTCCATCCCCCGTCCCCTCTCTGCCCCCCAAAATGCTGCATTTTCCTGCATGCAATATGCCCTTTTCCCCACCCAAAAAAACTCCAGCTTATGGAAACTGGTGCTCATTATATATGAGAAATATGGTAACAACATTTGCTGCTGGTTAAGAGCAAAAAGTGAAAGTAAAATCTGCATGACTTGGAGCAAAACAATGAGCAGCCTCTGCTCCCTAGCTATAAGGAAAGATCCTTTTTGCTTCATTAGGCCTTTCCAAAAAAAGGTGTGGCATGTTGTATGTGAGAAGACAGGTTATTCCAAATGCTACTATCTGTCTCATCCAATAAACAACTGTGTACTGCCTTCCTCATAGCGCCCTCTGGTTCCTTATTCACTCCAGGGTCCAATTCAAAATATCCTTCCATTTTTAAAAGCCTTGTGTCGATTTGTACCTCCTCAGAGTACTGACCAGCTGAGTGGACACAGCATGGATGGGGAAACAGAGGGGCAGAAAAAGAGTGACTTGCCCAGGGGTTACCTGGCAGCAGGTCAGTGGCAAAGCTGGGAATAGGAGTGTCTGGAGTGCCAATCTCAGCTGGATTGTGCTGCCCCTCATGTACACCGCCACTGAGCTTGACCCTTAAGGGAGGCTTGGCTAAAATGCTTCCAACAACATCCTCTGTTCCTGGGGGTTTACAGCTCCATTCAGGAGGCTGCAGCAGCAGGGTGTGCTTAAGTGGGGTTGTGGGGAGGCAGTATCCCAGCAGGAATGCAAGGCTGTGGGTTGTGCTAACAGTCCCTGTGCTGTGTTCTTCACAGCATACCAGGCCTCAGCCCCCTGACGGAGCAGCAGCGACACGCTTTGCACCAACATGAGCAGCAACTCCAGCAGCTCCAGCAGCTCCTGACGTCCCAGCTACTCAGTCCAGTAAGTGGGGCTTCTTAGGTATTTTACCCAAGGGCTGTTTCACATAAACAGCCACAGAATAGGGGCTGGAGCCCTGGCCTTCACCTTCCCTGGTGCATACTGCCATCATGAGGCCAGACAGTTATGTTCATTCTCCCTAGAAGCCAGAGGGCACATCCGCACATGCGCTTTAATGCACATTAGCCTATTTTAATGTGCATTAAAGTGTCAATAAAAAAACATGCTATTTAGTTAATGTGCATTAAAATAGGCTACTGCACATTAACCAAACACTAAAAAATCATGGGACTCTATACTCGTGCTCCAGGGGTGGCGGGGAGAACTTTAATTAGAGCAGCTCAGAGAGCAATTCTAATTAAAGTGCCCAGAGCATTTAGCGTATCAGCATTCATGCACTTCAAAATGGCAGCGGCGGCACTTTATCTAAAGCCTGTTAAGCGAACTTTAGATAAAGCACCTCCACCACCATTTTGAAGTGCAGGGATGCTGATACATGAGATGCAAAGGCTGGCTGGATCGCAGTAATTAGCACGCTCCAGCAGGCTCAATTAATTGAGTCTGCTCTGATGTGCTGTAATTACAGCACGTTGGAGCAGCCTCCGCATTCACGCACAGGCACTGCATGCTCTTTAGTTAATGCTCATTACGACAGGCTAATGCACATTTTCCTACTACCTCACAATGGAGGTACTAGACTTAATGCGCATTAACTAAAGTGCATTAATGCATGTGTAGAGACACTCAATGCAAAGTGAGACAGCTGCAACAAGAGGGACAGGAAAATAACCAGTAGCCAGGTGGTTAGGGCAGTCCCTAAGGAGGGGTTTGAGTGCCTGGAACAGAGAAGGGAATTTTAACCCGTGTCTCCCATGTTCTTGGTGAATGCTTTAACTCAGAGGTTCCCAACCTCATTATGCTGAGGCCCATCAAACCGTGGACCAGAAGTCACCATGGACCGACAAACTGCAGACCAGCAGTGACCAGCAGACTGTGGGCAGGCAGCCAACCCTTTTTTATACTCTATAAAAAAGGCTTTGGCTGCCAGTCTGCAGTCTGCCAGTCACTTCCAGTCTGTGGTTTGCCAGTCCGCAGTCCCTTCTGGTCTGGCAGCCGACCTTCCTGTGGCCCAGCAGCCAACCCTTCCGGTCATGGCCTGGGGGTTGGGAACCCCTGCTCTAACTGCTAGGTTGTAGTATAAAAGGTGAGGGCACCTCATCCTCTGGCCAGGTTTCCTGGAAGGAAAGGAGCTGCCACTGCTGTGTTTTGTACAGCGCCTGATCCTGTGGGTGTATGGGCTATAGCAAGGCAATGCTTCATCTGAGGATTGCACGAGGGCTTAGACCTGAATTCAGCACGAGGCTGGTCAGCTAAGCCAAGATGGAGGCCATTTTGAGTCTGAACAGAATCAGGTTCACTGAACAGCTAACAATGAAGCAGTTTCACTGGTGAAAACTTCAGCACCTACTGCTTGAAATGAGGCTTATGAGGAAATCACTATCAGAATTAAGGCCTAAATTTTGCCTTATTATCCTATAAAGCATCTGAGACCTTTTATGGATGTGGCATTAAGTCCCTGTCTGTAAAGTGGGACTGTCATTCCTACATGATGCAGGTGTTAGGAAGCCAAGTGCATTAGGTGCTGCACAGTGTCCTCATACAGGGCTGAAAGGGGGACCCGTAAAAAACGTAAATACATCTGTGCAAAGTGGAAGTAATATTCTCCTAAACCAGAATTTGGACCTGCCTGGTCTTCGCCTAGTAACAAAATCCCCAAAGTCAATCATTAAATCATAGAACATTAACATTGGAAGGGACCTCGTGAGATCATCTAGTCCAGTGGTTCCCAACCTTTCTTGTACCAGAACCCATTTGTAAACATTAATGGTCAATCCTGAGCCAGTGCCCCTCACTCCTGACCCACTGCCCCCTCAAGTGCATGGGGGGGGTTATGGGGGGGCCCCAAGCAGTCTCTGGCAGGCTGGAACTCTGACAGCCTGCAAGGGAAAAGTCACTGTCTTCCGCCTTTTTCTCCTTTAAAAGAGAATCCATTTTTAAAATTTGTTGATCCGTTTTTAAAATTTGTCCACAACCCTCTCATATATTCTTGCAACCCACTTTTGGGTCATGACCCACCGTTTGAGAAACGCTGATCTGGTCCAATGCCCTGCTCAAAGCAGGACCATTCCCAACTAAATTATACCAACCAAGGCTTTGTCTGGCTGGGTCTTAAAACCTTCCAACGATAGGGAATCCATGACCTCTCTGGGTAACCTGTTCCAGTGCTGTACTGCCTTCCTAGGGAGACAAGTTGTTCGTAATATCTAACCTAAACTTCCCTTGCTGCAACCTGAGACCATTGCTTCTTGTTCTGTTATCTGTCACCACTGAGAACAGTCCAGCTCCATCCTCCTTGGAACTACCCTTCAGGCAGTTGAAGGCTGCTGTTAAATCCCTCCTCAGTTGTCTCTTCTCCAGACTCAGTAAGCCCAGTTCCCTCATCCTCTCCTCATAAGCCATGTGCCCCAGCCCCCCAGCCATTTATGTTACCCTTCACTGGTCTCTCTCCAATTTGTCCACATCCATTCTGTAGCAGTGGGCCCAAAACTGGACACAGTACTTGAGATGTGGCCTTACCAGTGCCGAACAGAGGGGAAGAATTGCTTCCCTGAATCTGCTGGCAACACTCCTACTAATGGATCCCAGTATGCCATTGGCCTTCTTGGCAACAATGGCAAACTGTTCGCTCATATTCAGCTTACTGTTTACTATAACCCCCAGGTCCTTTTCTGCAGAGCTGTTGCTTAGCCAATCAGTCCTCAGCCTGTACCAGTGCATGAGATTGTTGTATCTTAAGTGCAGAACTTTCCGCTTGTCCTTATTGAACCTCATGAGATTTCTTTTGGTCCAGTCCTTCAATTTGTCTAGGTCTCTCTGAATCCTAGCCCTACCATCCAGCATATCTACTGCTCCCCACAGCTCGGGGGGAGTCAAGTTTATATAAGGATAAGTGTGCTTACACATATAAAGTTCCCCCCGTTTCAGTAACACGGTTTAGAATTACACCTAAGTTACAGAGGCATAGCATGGAAAAAATACTCCTGGGGCAGCTGCCTCTCATCCTTCCCCACTCCTTTCCCCTCCTCCCCACTGCTTACCTTCTTGATTGCTGGTTTGTGTCATGGAGTACCAAGAATTCTAGGGATCAGTGTTTTCTAGACCAGCAGTGGAGTTTGCCACTGCCAAGGGACTCTTCTCCCCATTTTTCCCTGCCTGAGTCCATGTCCAAAAGGTTAAAAAATGCTGAATTTGGCTACTAAACATGGGGGTCACCCCCCTGCATACTCCCCACCACCAGCAGCAGCAAATTCCACTGCTGCTCTACAAAACTACAAGTCCCAGAATGCCTTGCAATGCATGACACACATTACCCGTGCTGGCAATGTGTGTCCTAGAGGCAGGTAATGAGGCAGGCAGCAGAAGCAGAAGCAAGCGGTACCCTTGGCATATGGTGCACCTCCTCCCCACTATTCTCCTGGTGCACATGCCCTTAGGTGGTGTCTGGGGCATGTGCCTAGCTTGTCCACCTCACTTTATGCTACTGGTTACACCAGAGTCACTCAGTGGATCTGATGAAGTGAACCTGGCCTCCTCCTGAAAGCTTGTGCTGTCTCTTTGTCTTAATCTATTAAGGTGTATATCTACCTTGCCTTCTGACTTAGGGGCATAGACCAGGTACCTGGAGGCCTGTGTAGCATCTTCAGCTTACACTTGATGTGAGTGGCAGTGAAGTGCAGCCCTTTGGTCACTGAGCAAACTGTTTACATGCAAGCGATTGGTGTAGCTAGAGAAGTGAGAACTGAATCGGAGCCCCATTCTCCCTTGCTTGAACCAGTTGAGCTCTGCTGACTTCAGTAACAGTATTCCTTATTTATGATGGCATAAATGAGACCAGGATCTAGCCCTGCTAAGGAATTGAACATCTTTTTCTTATGCCCTCTTGTTTGCTATTTGCCCGGCTCTGTGCATTGAACAGAGTGGGTATATAGAAATCAGCCTAGATCACCCTTAGCCCCCATTTCCCTTTGTTCCTCTGACCATCTGATGTGTCAATATACCATTAATATCAAGCACTTATGTTCACATCACTGCTGATATTGGACACAGATTTCACTGGCACCTACACCAACAAACAGGTGCTTACGTGCTATAAATACTGGCTCAGATTCTCATTTCATTTCCCCTTGGGAAGCTTCAGTGGGCAGAGGAATTGCTGCTCATATATTGCAGTATAACTGGCAGCACCACAAAGGTCTTCATGTGTCTACAGTATGATAAGCCAGCCTCTCAGTGAGTGTAAGTCAGCATAGTCCCATTGGGGCCAGTGGAGCCATGCAGATTTACATCAACCAAGAATGTGGACAGCTCCCTCACGTGAGAGATTTCTAGGTCAAGCTATTTATAATCAGAAAAGGGAAATTTCCAGGGGACTGTAGCTGATGTCACCATTTTATCAACTAGGTTCCCCTGGGTATGGGAATAATTAGTTAGCTCCACCTGTGCATCCTATTGGTCAGTTATTTCCATAAGGGCTAATGTGGCTTCATGTGATTGGAGCACATCCCCACCAGCTGAAGATGAGCTTTGTCCCTCCTGGCTTCCCAGGATCTATCTCACCTGCAGTAATTAGCTCTGCCCCATAGGAATGATTTTTTTTCTGGGGTCAAATTTAGTAACAAGAGGGAACTGGAGTCCCCAAGTTGGTTTTGTGACCATGAATTCCATAAAGTGTTGGGAATTGGGTCATTAAATACTGGAAATGGATTGGAAGGGGCTGAACAGATGTGAGGGCCAGTGTGTTTTCTAGCATTGTAAAGTAGGGGTAATCTGATCTCAGGTTCAGGGTATCTAGTGGATCAAAAGGATTTTGTGCAGCTGCACATGCCTTCTTAGGCCACATCCAATAGGGTGTGTGGAAGAGTATGTAAACTAACACAAGAGTTGGGTTACATGCGTTGCATTAATGAACCTAGCGCTAGGCTGTACAGACAGGCCCATGCATGCAAAGCTTCCCCCCTGCTCCATCCTTCTCCTGACCTGTTCTCTGCCTTCCCATCCAGGAGCAGCAGGCCTTAGTGTTCCAGATGATCCAGCAAATCCAGCAGAAGAGGGACCTGCAGCGGCTACAGATGACAGGCACCTCTCAACTGCCCATGACCAGTCTCCTAACAGCCACCTCCACACCCCTCCTCCACTCAAATGCCAATGCCCTGATGACCTCTGCCACCCAGCCCGCACCCAGCAGCAGCTCCCTCATGGCTTCCATCTCTCCCCAGCAGCTCAACCCTGGCAACAGCCTGATGGCTACTCCAGCAGCCCCACCCCTTAGCGCTCCTGGGAACAGCCTGGTGGCTTCAGGGGCAGGTGTTCCACCAGTCCTTACAGCACAAAGCAACCCCTTCCTCAACCTCCAGGCTGACAGCAATGCCCAGAAAGGAACGGTGCGTGTATTATTGGCATTACGGTAACACCTAGAGGGACCCCACTGGGATCAAGGCCCCCTGTATTAGGCACTGGTCCATCCCTACAGCAAGAGAAGGTCTCTGATCCAAAGAGCTGTGATCTAAATGGGGGAAACTGAGGCACAAGGAAAGGAAGGTCATACAGCAGAAGAACCAGGAAGAGAACCCGGGTCTTTGGGACTAGGAGTCATATCCATAGGATCTGACTTCCTCATCTTCCTGATCAGCCAGTCAAATGGGCTTGAATCTCACCTCATTGGCTTCAGTGAGTTGAAGCTAGGGCCATGGGTGGGCAGAAGGACAGCCAATGATACAGGTATACACATGCACCAAGCCAGCTGCAGTGCTGCAGGAAATAGGGTTGGAGACAATGTGTATATGTGTCTGTATCACTTGTGACATGGGCAATCACGTGGCATGGTAAAATGCAGGGGTACTTGCATTCCCAACTGGCAGGGTCCAGGGGGAGATGATGTGTGCTTGTGTTTATCAGATGCAGGGAGGAATTGATCTGCCTCCTGCCAGACATGTCTGGGATCTGCTACTTTCAGGGGCAGGTCCATAGAAACCTAGGGCTGGCAGGGCCCTCAGGAGGCTATCTAGTCCAACCCTGTGCTCAACACAAGAGCATCCCTGTCTAGGCCACCCACAACCTTCCAGTGAGGGGCATTTCATGGAGGCTACAAGACTTTAGGGACCATGGTGTGATCTGCCATGGCAAAGCCCCCTCCCCTACCCCTTCCTTCTCACTCATGCATCATTCATCCTAGATGAGTCCAGGAGCTCTGGTGGAGGCATTCCCAATGTGGAGGACACCAGTTTGTGGCCCTCTCTGTTTGAACTGAGGTCCCCAGTTCAAATTTCTGTGCTGATCTCAGTCCCTGATGGAGGGGGAGAGAAGAGCAGGCTACACTGGGATCTGCATTCTCCAGCCCAGTGCCCCAGCAAGGCCAGACTTGCAGCACAGCAGAGCCATCCCATTTCTATTCATTGGCATGTTGCTGCCTGTCCAATTGACACTGAAGACTGTCTCCTCTGTGTCTTTTTGCAGAGCATGAATGAAAAGGTTGCTCCTCTCACCCAGGACAAGGGCTAAGCCCCAGGCCTGCCTAGACCAGCAGCCAGCTCCTCGGTGACTGGAACGCGGCTTTCCACGGTCACAGATCTTGATACTTTAGAGCAATGAGCACAAGGCTTCTGAGAAGCATTTCCTGCCAGCAAGTAATGCCAGGCGGTGCGTTTGGAAGACAAGTGTGTTTCTGATTGAGGCCTGGCATTCAGTGCCCTTCTAAGAAGGGAGGAGGGGCAGGGAGATTCCTGCTGACTTGGTCCGGGCCACACTTGCTCAAAGCAAAGCTATATCTGTCTCCACACAAAGTGGAGGAGAGAGTTCGTGTGAGCTCAGACACCTGCCAGCCTCTTCTTCAGAGGGCACGTGCATGTGTGGATCCTCCAGGTCAGGCAGTAAACCAAGATCGCAACCCATCCTCAGCCAAGATCATGGATGAAGGGGTATCTCTGCCAAGGTGTCCCTTTCATGTGGGACTTGGTGGGAGTGGTTGGCTCATGGGTTCTCTCCTACCAAGCAGGGAGGTTAAGAGGATCGTAGCTGAGGAAACCCTGAAACAAGACTGATGACTGGGACTTCCCACAGGACTTTGACTGCGCAGGTCCCTAAGATGTTCCGTCCTCTGTAACCATCACATACAGCCGTTCTCTGCCCCCCTACCAGATCTGGATTCAGCCTAGAAAGACATGGATGAGGGGTCTGTGGAAAGAGACTGGCTGCAAGTGTTGAATGCCACTTTCCTCTGCCCTACACTGTTCGGGGTCTCCTTTCCAAAGGCTAAACTGAAAGATGTCACCATGCCTGCTATGCCAACTGTAGGGCGGCTCTCCGTAGGTCAGCTCAGCGCTTTACTTTCCCATGTGAGAAGCACACTCCTGCCTCTCATGTTGCCCCTTGTTCTCTCTTTCCAAGCTCAACAGGCACAGCCTGCAAAGGGGTTGAGGCCATTCTGGTGCTCTGCACAGCCAACTTCAGGAAGTGTGTTCTACCCAGGCTGTTTGCTTACAGGCCTTCTCTGGAAAGTGACCCCAAGCATGTGTTGGGTGGAAAGGATAGTCTGAAATCTGGTACCTGATCTTTCTTACTCATCTCTAAAGTAGTTCCACTCTGGCAAAGACTGGTCTCCTGCACTGTGAGCACCATCCAGTGCTTGGAAAACCCTAAAAGAGCACTAGTCTTCCCAGCCTGGAACATCCTTGCTTTTACACTTTTTGATTTTAACTCCACCCTGGGACCTGGAGCTTTAGCAGAGAAACCTGCTTCCTCAGAGATTGTACGCCACAGATTTTTGAAGGACAGGTGGGGAAGCTGAGCAGAGGGGGAGATCAGCATCAAACATATGAGTTACCCCTCCCCTATCCCTGGTTACATCCATGTTGCTCAGGGGTGGAGTCAGGACTCCAGCTAACAGAAACACTAAGGATCTTAATGAAAAAGTCATCAGACCTTACTGGATACAAGTCATTTTCAGCATATCCCCACTGCCTCTATCTAGTTTGCACTATTCAAATTTATCGGCAGTGGGTCTGTGCTGATACCACTGGAAAAGTTCATCACGGTTCATCTATTAAATACATTTCTTGTTTCTTTCTGTTTTTAAATGAAAGATCATGGCCATGGTGGTTGTATAGGACAAAAAGGAGAGAATGCCTTCCTGGGCCTTGGCTTCCAGGTCTGTGAGCTGGACAGGACAATGCTGTCTGCTCACAACTTTTTTTGAAACAAATTTTAAAAGCTATTCCTCAGCAACACCACAAGCACTAGTGGCAAGGTGGAGATGGCAGCTATAAAAATGAGAATGCAGAAAAAAAGTTTCCCTCCCTTCCTGGCTATCTCTGCAGTGGGGACATGGAGAGGAGCAGCTGGAAAATGTGATTATTACTAACGTTCCCTCTCCGCAGCCAGCTGCTGAGTTAAGAACTGAGATGTGCTAAACTTCCATCAACCTGGTGCATTTAAAATTATAGGTGTTGAATTCGAGTTCGAAAGGGCCTGGTTTTATTTTTCCTGTCCCCCTTACTCCTGAAAATGTTCTTGTACAATTTTGTGTCGCACCTTTTTTTTAATCTAAAACATTTTCTCTTCCCCTCTGCAACTCAAGGGCATAATCCCTACATCTTCCTTAACCCCATGGAACTCCTGGTAACAAAGGGTGCTATGCTTCCATCTGTAAATCAGGTAGTTTGACACTGACCCAGCTTGTGAGCACATGTCATGTGTGCAAAGCTGCATGAGCAGAATTGCAATTGCAGATGCTGCTGTGCTAGATTCTGCCCCAAAATATGCTGCCAGCTGCTTGCTGCCCTGGGCTTTTTGTTTGTTTGTTTTTTACCATAGGGTCCCAGATTCAAGTTCTCACTTCCTCCCTTGTTAGGGCAACAATCCCCATTAAAATCCCTGAAAAAATTATCTTAAACAGTCACAGCCTCATATCGTGCCTGGAGCCGGTCCCAACATTTTGGGTTTTAATTAAATTTCAGACTTTGAAATGGCAGGAAATAGGCTGGTGAAGGAGGAACATTTCAATGGTTCCCCCCTTTCTTTAATTCTGATTCACCCTAGTCAAGATTTGATGCATTTGTTCCTCAAAAGCAAACAAACCTTAAATGTAAGTGAATCCAAGGAGTCTGTTTTGCATAGGATGTCTCCATAAAGGTAGGGATGTGAGTCATTCAGGGCTTCATTCCTAGCTGTCCCTGCTTCATGTTTGGCACATCTTTTTTTTTCATTTGAGTACAAAGCCATTTTGCTCTAAGAGGACTCTGTAGATCAGGCAAGGAAGAAATTGAGGATAATAAGGGGAAGGAAGAGACATATAGCACTTAAATTTATATAAATATA